TTGAATAATTGAAGAAGAGCAATAAAGTTTCCTTAGAAAAGGAGGCCACTGTTGGAATTCCGACTCTGCTGGAGTTACAATCCCTATGAGCTGCAAGTTGTGCTGCAGATTCGAAAAGCTGCTCTAAACAGAAAAAGACGTCAAAAGCGAATCTATTCAGAAGTTCCATCGTTCCACAACATCTGTCCCCTACATGGCGTAGTGATCTCCCACCAAACACCCTGCGTATGAGAAAGGATAAATAAAACCCAGCTCTTGAAAGGACTTGTTAAATCAAGATGAAAACACAAAACGGGCTCCCTGCCTCTGCTACTGAACTGCAAAAAGCTCCAGCCCAGCTGAGCTTGATGGACGGCAGGGAGTTATGCTTCTACACCCCTGTTTAAAATAACTTCCACAGCAGATAAAGCCTAATAAAGATGCAGCTCAGTCATGAATTGCAGATATTTTCTCATGAACCAACATAATTATAGTTCCTTTGTAAACTGAATGTAAGCTTACAGCGCCTTTGAGGAAACACAAGACAATTTCTTTACTTATTCATATATAGATAACAAACTTTTGAGGCTTGTTAGTCAAGATAATCAGAGTTATATCTAAGAAGGTGGCATAGAAAGTGACAAGCTTTTCTCTGGCTTGCTTCATATAACTTGCTACACCATTATGACTGTCATATTTGGTTTGGATTTGTGTGTCAAAGACAATACAGATAATCCTTCAATTTGCTGTTTGAAGTTACAACAGCACTGTATGACTGGTCCTCACATGACCATCACAGTTACTTACAGTCACATGATCAAAATTTGGATGCATGGCAACTGGCAAGTATTTATAACAGTTGCAGTGTCCCAGCATCATGCGATCACAATTTGCAACCTTCCCTGCCGGTTTCTAATAAGAAAAGTTGATGGGGGAAGCCTGATTGGCTTAATGATGGTGTGATTCATTATAAAAATTGCAGATTTTCTTAACAACTGTGGCAAAAAAGTTTATTAAATGGGATGCAACTCATTTAATAATCACCTTGCTCAACAATGGAAATGCTGGTGCCAATTGTGGTTGCAAGTCAAGAACGACCTGTAAATGTGTTGCAAAGCAACCATCCGAGTTGGGGGGCTCAAATGGGACATGGGTCTAGACCAGGGGTCGGCAATCCCCAACTCCAGAGCCGCATGCAGCTCTTTGGGCCCTCTGCCGTGGCTCCCTGTCCCATCACTGGTTGGCCCCAGCCCTCGCCCCTCTTATTTCTTTTTTTGACTCCAGCCCGAAGCGGCAGGAAGCAAAAGCTGCCTTATGCGCAAATTTGGCACGAAGGCAGGTACAAGGCAGCTTCGCTCCTGCACTCTCCTCCCCCAAGCCGGGAGTGTGCGCACATGTGGGGAGATCCTTCTCAAGCAAACGCCAAAACACAGCAAAGTTGCGTGTGGGGTGGGCGGCCACTCACTTAGGAGGGTCTTAGCAGGACGCAGCTTCTCTCCTGATTAATGATCTGGCCATTGCTGGATCTCCTCCCAGTCTTGTGACACCCTGGCTGTGAGCTGCACACACACAGGGAGACCCTTCTCAAGCAAGCGCCGAAGCTCAGGAAAGGTGCGCCCGGGGCGGGCAGCGGCTCGTTTAAGGAAGGTCTCCCTGCACGTGCGCATCCTCCTGGCTCAGCCGGCCAGGGCATCACAAGAGTGGGAGGAGGAGGAGAGTGCAGGAGTGAAGCTTCCCTGTACCTGCCTTCATGTCACATTTGCACGTAAGGCAGCCTTCGCTTCCTGCCGCTTTGGGCTGGAGTTTGCACCCTCCACACTTGGCTGAAGAACTGCGGGGGGTGGGGGATGAAATGGCAAAGCGATGGCTGAAGCATTAGTGCAGGAGAAAAACCACGTCCTGTTAAGACCCTCCTAAGCTTTGGTGCTCGCTTGGGAAGGGTCTCCTCATGCATGCACCCGCTTCTGGCTCAGCCACGCCGGCCAGGGCATCACAAGAGGAGTGGGGCAGAAGAGGACAGTCACCCGAAGGGAGGGGGAGAGAGAGACACACACACATATATACAGAGAGAGGGGAGAGAGAGAGACAGAGACACATAGAGTGATACATAGACAGGGGAGGGAGAGGGAGAGATACAGTATAGAGGGAGGAAGACACTGGGTGGGGGTGAGGGGGAGATAGGGAGAGGGGGAGACAGAATGGTTTTGTGGCTGGGTAGGTGTGGCTGGGGGGGTCATGTGACTGGGTCGGAGTGAGTGACATCGAGTTGGCCACGCCCACCCAGGTTTTGTGGCTCCGCTGTTGTTTTATGTTTATGTTTTATGTTTATTTGATTTGTATACCGCCCTACTCCCAAAGGACTCAGGGCGGTGAACAGCCACAAGATAAAAGCACATAAGTACAAAATTTAAAAACAGAATAAAACCGAATTAAACAATTTGGCCGAAGACAGATTTAAAACACCCCAATAAATTAAAAACGAATTAAAATTTGTGTTTTAAAAAGGAAAAAAGGGAAAAAATTAGGCCAGGCCAGCCTGATGGAATAAAAAGGTCTTGAGAGTGCGGCGGAAGGTGCCTTTAATCCGGGATCCTCCGTATCTCCGGGGGGAGCTCATTCCAGATAGTAGGTGCCCCCACAGAGAAGGCTCTCCCCCTGGGGGCCGCCAGTCGACATTGTTTGGCCAACGGCACCTGGAGGAGCCCCTCTCTATGAGAGCGTACCGGCCGGTGGGAGGCTACAGGTGGCAGCAGGCGGTCCCGTAGATAACCAGGCCCTAAGCCATGGAGCGCTCTAAAGGTGGTAACCAAGACCTTGAAGCACACACGGAAGACCACTGGGAGCCAGTGCAGCTCGCGCAGGAAGGGTGTTACATGGGAACGCCATGTCGCTCCCATAACCACCTGCGCAGCCGCACTCTGCACCAGTTGGAGCCTCCGGGTGCTCCTCAAGGGGAGCCTCATGTAGAGAACGTTGCAGTAGTCCAGGCGGGAAGTGACGAGGGCATGAGTGACCGTGCGTAAAGAGTCCTGATCCAGAAAGGGACGTAACTGGCGAATCAGGCGAACCTGATGAAAAATCCTCCCGGTCACGGCCGTCAAGTGCTTTTCTAAAGACAGCCGTGAGTCCAGGAGGACGCCCAAGTTGCGAGCCCTCTCCGTGGGGGCCAGCGATTCGCCCCCAATAGTCAGCGATGGCGTCAACTGACTATATCGGGACGTCGGAAACCACAGCCACTCGGTCTTGGTTGAGCCTGAGACTGTTTCTCCCCATCCAGATCCGCACGGCCTCCAGACACCGAGACATCACTTCAAGGGCATCGTTGGGGTGGTCTGGGGTGGAGATGTACATCTGAGTGTCGTCAGCGTACTGGTGGTACTTCACCCCGAAACCACGGATGATCTCACCCAGCGGCTTTACATAAATGTTGAACAAAAGGGGCGAGAGGACCGACCCTTGTGGCACCCCACATATGAGGGGCCTCGGGGTCGACCTCTGCCTGCCAACACAGACTGCAACCGGCCGGAGAGAAAGGAGGAGAACCACCGTAGTACAGTGCCTCCCACCCCTAACTCTTCCAACCGGTGCAGCATGATATCATGGTCGATGGTATCAAAAGCCGCTGAGAGGTCTAACAGGACCAGGACAGAGGAGCACCCCCTGTCCCAAGCCCTCCAGAGATCATCAACCAACGCGACCAATGCCGTTTCCGTGCTGTACCCAGGTCTGAAACTCGACTGGAACGGATCCAGATACGTCGTCTCATCCAGGTGCTGGGGAAGCTGTTGCGCAACCACTCTCTCGACAACCTTCGCCACAAAACGAAGGTTGGAGACCGGACGATAATTAACCAACATTGCCGGGTCCAGGGAAGGCTTCTTGAGGAGGCCTCACCACCGCCTCTTTCAAGGCGGCGGGGAAGTCACCCTCACTCAATGAAGCATTTATAATCCCCTGGAGCCAGCCTCGCGTCACCTCCCGAGAAGCCAGCACTAACCAGGAGGGACAACATGTGGTTGCATTCAGTCTACCCAGAATCCTGTCCACATCGTCAGGAGTCACAGGATCAAACTCATCCCAGATAACATTCTCAAGACCTGCCTCAGTCATCCCCCCTGAAACTATCCAGTCAGAGTCCAGACCTTCCCGAATCTGAGTGATTTTATCATGCAGATACTGTACAAAGTCCTCGGCTCTACCCTCCAAGGGGTCCTCCCGCACTCTCTGGTGGAGCAAGGAGCGGGTCACCCTAAACAGGGCGGCTGGGCAGTTCTCTGATGACACAATAAGAGCAGCAAAATAATTACACTTTGCTGCTTTTATCGCCACTAGGTAATTCTTAATATGAGATCTTATCAGTGTCCGGTCAGATTCAGAAAGACTAGCCCTCCAACTACTCTCTAGGCGTCTTTTCCGGCGCTTCATCTCCCTTAGCTCCTCAGTGAACCAAGGAGCCAGATGAGATCGACACCAGGTTAGAGGCCGCAAAGGCATGACCCGATCCAGAGCTCCAGCGGCCGCCCTGTCCCAGGCGGCCACTAGGTCTCCAGTCGAGGCATGAGCCAGAGCTTGGGCTCAAAGAGCCCAAGTGGCTCTTTGAGTGTTTAAGGTTGTCAACCCCTGGTCTAGACTCACTAGGTGAGCACATGAAAGCCAGTCTGGCCTTGCCCCAAAGGCCTTTGAGGTTTATCTGGCCTTTCCCAGAGGAAAGCTGCCAGACTGGGAGATTCCTGTATTATAGGCAGAGAACAATTAAGTAGCTAGTTTGACCCCCGTGTGGGTCTGGTTGTTTGCGCCTGACAAGACACAAAGCTAATGTTCCAGAGGAAAGCTTTATAGAGTTATTCTTGAAATGATCCCCCCCCCTTCTTAACCAGTAGATTCACTCACCTGCAGCAGCCCAATGTTGTTCTCAATGATCGAGTTTAGCTCGAAACTTCCAAGCTACCTTGCCGGGCAAGTGCTGCATCAAATGGCCTAACAGCTAACCGGAAAGGGTGGGTGGAGGCCATAAGGCTTACCTTGTATTGCAGGACCTCTTCATCGCGCTTCTGCTTGATCAGCAGAATCTGTTCCTCCAGGTTCCTGTTTTGCAGTAGCAACTTGCTGACTTCTCCCTGCAACGGCCTCAGGGTCTCCTTCAGTCTGTGGATTTCACACTGTGTCGTTTGCAAGGCTTTGCTGCTGGCTTCTCTCCTTTCCAAGAGGCGCATCAGCTTCGGTTCATAATGCTCCTCCAAGCACTGACGGTTCTCCAGTACAAAACTCTCAAATTCCATGGAAAGCCGCCGGCTCTCTTGGAGGTGACGGCTGCTCCTCTCATGCCGTGGAGCCTTCAGCTTCTGCCTAAAATGTTCCTTCTCTTCCTCACAAGTCTCTTTCAACTGGGACAGCTCTTGTGAGAGCTGGCTGACTCTGTTCTCCAGTTCTTTTTGGTAGTCCACGTGCTGAGCGACTTCGTACCTCCTGGTTTCCAGCTGATACTGGCATGCCACGCACTCCCGCGTCACCCTAAATAGCTTCTGCTTCACCTGTCGAATCTCATCCCGCAGGTTATCTTTCTCCAGCTCTACTTTGGTATGGAGCCTGTAGGCTTCCAGAATCTCTTCGTGGGCCCGTTGGAGTTCCTCGAGAGCTGGTTGGCGTAAGAGTGTGAGTTCCTTAATGAGAGAGTCCCTCTCCTCCTCTAGCTGTTCTACTGCTTCAATGCATTGCTGGAAACGTTCCCCAAGATCTTCCATGTCCACATGTTGGCTCTCAGCAGCAGACAAGTCTTGGCAAGTCATGGAATCCTGAGACTCCAGCGAGGCCCCAGCAATTTCAGGATTTTGTTGGAACTGAGCACTAATGGGGTCCATGTAGAAGAACTCAGGGACATTTTCTTGGTTAAATTCTGGCAGTGTTCCTACACTGGCAATATTTGGCTCCAAGGTTTCTTCACTATCCTGCTCCACTGGAAGTTCAAAATCTGCCATCTCTCTCTTGAAAAGAGAAAGGAAACTATGAATCAGATCTCAAGAAACAGGCATATCCTTGTACCACACAGATGCCATAGCTTTATATTGTAAATAGAGTAGGAAAGTGGGGATTTAAAGACATTAAATCAAGAAGTCATAGAAAGACTTTTGAGGGCATTATTTAAGAAAGGAGAATATGAAAAGGAATCACAGTGGCACGGCATTTCTGCTGTTAAAATATTTAAAAAGCTTTCTTGCCCAGCAGTTCTGTTTTGAATTACAGCGCTTTAAAACTGAAATCCTTTTTCTGAATGTAATTGCCAAGAGGCTGGTCTTGCATCCCGGGGCCCCTTCCTGATCCCTTCCCCACAAAACTCGAAACAGCCATTATATTATTTGGCCACGTCTGCTCTAAGCCATCATCTGTACAGCCTTCATATGATGTCATCCTGGAACAGGGAACGTTCTCAGCAAAATGATTAACTTTTCCATTTCTGGGAAGGGTGTAATGCAGAGGAGAGACAGGGGCACACAGGATTTCTTAAATACTTTCTGACAAGTTAGTTTGGGGAAAGTATAAGAAGACCCCAACCCTTGTGTGGAGTACCTACCACACAAACACAAGTGTGTGACCTTTATTTGCCCATATTTTGTCAATTTACATGCCACTCATTTGCCTTTTTTTAGGTAGCACATGGGATTAGAAAACAAACTGAAGAATTTTCTTTTCTAAACTCTCTCTGTTGCATTCTTCACCAGCAGGTGATGGTGGGTTCTTACAAGTCAGTCTCACTGGAGACTAATATGGAAAGGGCAGAACAATATACACAGGTAATTTTCAACTTATAACCATTCATTTAGCAATCATATGAAGTTACAACAGTGCTGAAAAAAGTAACATACAACTGATCCTCACACGTACAACCATTGCAGCATCACCCATCACATGATCAAAACTCCAGCGCTCTGCAACCAGCAATGTATTTATGATGGTTGCAGTCTCCTGGGGGGGGTCATGTGATCTCTTCCCACAAGCAAAGTCAATGAGGGGAGCCAGATTTGCTTAATGACCACGGTTCACTTAACGGAGGTGATTTGCTTAACACCGATGGCAAAAAAGTCATAAAATCGGACATGACTCACTTAACAACCACCTTGCTTAGCAACAGAATGTCTGGTCCCAACTGGGGTTTGTAAATCAAGGATTAACTGTGTATTGTTTTTTCCCTAGAATATAGCAGTTGTGCATTAATGTAGCATGTGGTCTATGAATCTGCAGGTTAGCAGAGATTGTAAACATTCTACCCTTCTAAAGTCTTCTTCCAGGACTTTAGAGGCAGAAAAGTGGACTTCGGGAAGAGAGGAAGTAAGAGATTTCTTTGGGCTAAGGAATTCTTGGTTGAAGGTCATCAAGGAAACAAGGACTTTAGAAACAGATCTAGGAGACCAGCCTCATGCCCCCAAATCCCAGGAGATCCAAAACTAGAGAAGTGAACTGGGTGAGTGGGTGGGGAGGTCATGTACAGATCTTACATTACAGTTTTTGAGAGTTTTAATTCTGCTTCTGCTCATGCCTGTCTGTTGCTTTGCTCAGCTCAATGACTGCCAATGCCCACAGGTGGCAAATTAAGCCTCATTCAATGATGTGGCCATTTTCCTAAGTTTTTATTCAGATAAGCATCTTTTACTTTTTGCGAGTGTTGAGTTTTGATTAGCAGCATCCACTCAGAATGGCATCCACTCTGCTGGGATTCCTAACCCTGTTATGACAGGAGAGATCTTTGGTTTGAGGTGTCGGCAGTTTCTCTTCTGTCAATAAACATTGGCAGCTGTTTTGAGGTTGGAGTCTTTGTGTGGAAAAATATTGCCAGTTGTTTCAAATGTTTGTGTGGTCACCCAACCCATCTTGCATAGAAGGACTGTGGTTTAAGCAGAAAAGTGAGATAAATTAGCACAAGTGAAAGTATTTTGGTGCCCGAGACATAAATGTATATGTTCTCCTTACCTTGGCAACATTTTTAAAACTAAATATTGATCCAACCCATTAGTGGGTTTAAGAAGTTATGTGATTTATTTAGCATTGCTGGCTAGGAATCCAGCAAATTTTAATCTCAGTGTATCTGGACAGCGCCAGATTTGGGAAAGCTGAGTCAGTGTTATGCAATTCCAAATATTTAAGCATCTTCCAATTTATGTGTGGGTTTTTCTGATGAATGTATGCAACTTCCACCTCCCAAACTGTTTGCATTTCTTTCCATATTCTTCTAAGCCCACCGTAGGATTAAACCAAAATAGAGAGAACTACAGTATTGTTTTTCTTTTTCCCATTTCGCCTTCATTTTCTTCCTCTTCCATCTTCTCACACCTCAACTTGAGTGTAATTCATGCACAACAGAAACTCATTAGCTCAGTTCTCAGTGGACCTCATGAAGCCAAACACTTTTTTGCCAGCTCCAAATCCACCTCGTCCATTTTAGTTTCTGGTTCAGAGAGAGAGGCCGGGTATTACTGGCAAACCAGAAAATTGCACTAAGGAGGGAAAAGGAGTTGGAAAGTGAGCCGGGAGGAAAGCCAGGAGCTGTGATATGGGATGCCATTCCAAAGAGGTATGAAGGGCGCAAATCAAACATTTAGCAATGAAACGGGCGATTAAATTCAAGAACGGATTATATTGCACCGACAAATCTGAGCAGCTTCGTCGGGCTTCAGACCAGCCGCCGCCGCCGCCGCCGCCGCCGGGATCTCACTAACTCCTGAAGCTCGGCTGCTTTCCCGGCCTCGGGTGAGGAGGCTGCGCCCGCGTGAATCAGCAAGGCTGCTCCGGCCGGCGGCGGTGGCGAAGCGAAGCTCTCTCCGGGCTGGAGATTCACCAGGCGCTTGGGACGGAGTCCGAGCTCCGGCTGCTCCAGGCGGACGGCCCGGGGATGAAAAAAGCGAGCAGGAGCGGCGGGGCTCCGGCAACAGGTGGCCGCACAAGGGCGGCCTCGCCTTCCACTGTGCCCGGGAGAGCGAAGGGGCGGCTGGCTTCCGCGCGCGGACGGCCGAGCCGAGCCCCGCGAGCCTCCGCCGCAGGAGAATCGGCCCCTTTTCCCAAATAAGGCCGCTTCCCCCTCCGCGGGCTCCAGACCGGGCTTGCAGGCGAAGGGGCCCCTCGCGGGAGCCACACCTGCCTCCCCAAGTCCCCGGCGGCTGCACAGCTGGCCTAGAAGCGCCCTGGCAGCTCCCGCTCGCTCGGTCGGCGGGAGTCGGGCAGCGTCTTCTCTTGCTGCAAGTTTTCCGACGAGCCTCGGCTGCCCCTCCCCCCCTGCCCCGGGCAGTTGACGCCTGGCCAGCCCTGCAGCCGGAGGGAGTGCCCCGGGCCCTCCGCCCCCCCGGCTGCCCCGCCGCCCCAAGCCCTCCGCGCCGCCGCCCCGGAGCCCACTCGGCGCCAGGCGCTGCTCACCTGCCGCTCCGGCACGGGCACCTCGAGCCGCGGCTGCCCCGAGATGAGGAGAGGCGCCGTTATTAATAAGCAGGAGCGGAAACCCGAAGCCCGCCGCGTCCCCCCCCGCCGCCCCCCGCCCGGAGGGAGGAGCCTGGGGTGGGAGGAGGGGCCGGGGGACGCGGGGGGAGGGGCGACTGTGGTGCTTCCCCCTCTTGGGGGCTCCTAGGCGCGGAGGCTGAGGGGCCCGAGGACAGCCGCGTGAGCTGCGATGGCAAAAAACGCGGAAGAAAGGGAACCTGGTAGTATCTTTTCCAGTTAGGTTTTACCGAAAGCCCTCAGCTGCCTCTGGCGTAAAAGGCAAAGAGGGCTTCAAAGGAGGCGAGATGGGGGCGGCACGTAGAATAAGAGCGGTGGGAGGGACCTTGGAGGCCCTCTAGTCCAACCCCCTGCTGAAGGAGGCGACCCTATACCGTTCCAGACAAATGGCTGTCCAGTGCCTCTTCTTTAAAGCCCCCAGTGATGGTGCACCCACAACTTTTGGAGGCAAGCCATTCCACAAGTTTATTGTTCTGTCAGGAAATCTCTCCTTAGTTCTAGGTTTGTTCTCTCTCCTTGATTAGTTTCCACCTGTTGCTTCTGGTCCTGCCTTCAGGTGCTTTGGAGAATAGGTTGACCCCGTCTTCTTTGGGGCAGCCCCTCAAATACTGGAAGACTGCTATCATGTCAGCCCTAGTCCTCACTTTGTTAGACTACATTCAGCCATTCATCGTGTGCTTTAGCCTCTAGGCCACTTGTCATCTTTGTTGCTCTGCACTCTTTCCAGAGTCTCCGCATCTTTTTTGTATTGTGGTGAGCAGAACTCAACACAGTATCCTAAGTGTGGCCTTCCCAAGGCATTATCAAATGGTATCAATACTTCATGTGAACTTGGTATTATCCCTCTGTTGATGCAGTCTAGGACTGCATTAGCTTTTTTGGCAGTTGCTGCACACTGCCAGCTCATAGTTGATTGTCCATTGGGACTCCAAGATCCCTCTCATAGTTACTGCTGTTGAGCCAGGTACCTCCTTCCATACATGTGCATTTGTTTTTCTAAAACTTCACTTTTGTCACCATTGAATTGCCTGCTGTTGGATAGGGCTTGGGGTTCAAGTCTGTCAAGATCATTCTGAATCTTGAATCTATCTTGCTTGGCGTCATCTGCAAATTTGATGATTTCCCCCTTTATATTTTTCTATATTTCATTTTTTCTACATATTAAATACTGGTAAATGTAATGAATAAATAGATAAGTGGAGTGTCTTGGACCCTGAATAGTGTCCTGGCATTTATAATACCGTAGTGCTGCTACATTAGGGCTAAAAAAAAGGTAAAGAAAAACTTATATTTTACCATCCTAACCAAAAGAATTATTTATTTATATCCTGCCTTTATAATTTTTACAACTAACTCAAGGCTGTGAACATATTCAGCTCCTTCCTCCTATTTTCCAATAACAACATCCCTGTGAGATGGTTTGGGTGGGGAGAGAATGACTGGTTGAAGGTCACCCAGCCCGCAAGCAAGACAAGAACAGGTTGGTTTATCTCTGCCTCAAAAGCTCAGAGACCAAATCCTCATTCTTGGAACGCAGTAGGACAAAATGTGAAACTCGCTTGATTATACAAACCAAAGTTAAGTCCCGCAGAATTCTCTGTGTTGTCAAAATGTAACCTAAATCTTAACAGTGGTTTTTTGGAAGGGTAAGAGATTGATTTGCCTTAAATGCCCTCTGCCAAGCTGTTTGTGAGTCATCAAAGAATACTGAAAGCATTTTAGTGTCCAAAGCCAAAAGGTTGATTTGTGCTGTTTTCTAAAAGAACAGCCACAATATCTCACATCCTTGCCTGTATGCTGCTTTCTTAAGGAGATTCTACCTGAGGGGCCCATTGCAGAAATCCCAGGTGACTCCAACAACTGCCAGGCAGAGGGAGGTGATTCTTGTAGTGCAAGGTGGGAGGGAGAGATGTAAGGACGGCAAAGGCTTTAGTGTGAAAATGTTCCTGCGCTTGTTCACTCGGCTGCAGGTCCCACTGTGGGATACGGTGCAGTTTCTATTAGGGAAATTAAGGTATGAAGGACTGTAGTGTAAGGTTTCAAATACTGGAATAATGAGAGAATGGGATGGCATGGGATGAGACGGAATGGAATAGAAAGGATAAGATGGGATAATTACTGATAAACTGTAGTCATTTGACCAAATTAAAAATATAAAACTAATACAAACATACAAAGAAATATAAAGAAAACAATAGGACATGTTCATAATAAGTTGTCACCCCTACAATTAAACTCAAACTGATATAAATGGCCTTTGAAATAAAGAGTTCAGTCTTACTAGTGACATGCACGTTTGTTCCTGGCAAAAAGCGAGATAGTTTCTCCTGGGTGTCCCAATATCTTTTACTTTTTAAATAAGAATCTACTGTAAGTAAGCAACCTTCCTGCAGAGTCCAGGTTGCAGGCCATGCAAGAAGTTGTCTTTCGTGGTTGGTGTTCCACAAATGGAATGGAGTGTTTCTTCTAACAGAACTCCATGAAACCTCCCAGGGAGCCCAACCGTTCGAAACAAGCCCTAGAAACAGCTCTTCCCAGATGCACCTGAGGCACCTGAGCGTTTAAACATTTCTCTAACTAGGCAGCTGATGGCCAAGAGGCCTTACTATGGAAAGGGGGCCTGACCAGGGAAGGGAGTCGGCCCATGGAAGCTGCCTGCAGCCCTTGCTGGCTTCCTTCCCTTTGTTGGCTGAAGTCCCAAAGCTTCCCTGAACCAATCAGAGGCACAAAGCCGCTCCCCACTGCCCCTTCCTCTGCTGCCAAGCCTAAGATTTCCTTGGTTTGCTCACTTTGGGGTGCAGCTGCACAGCAAAAACTTGGGTAAAGACAAAAGAAATTGGCTTTAAAAGGAATGAAACCCAGGGCTCTTTTTTAAAAACCTAAATGTACTTTTGTCCTTTTTCAAGAATGCAGCTCAACCCACACGCTCTCCCCCTCCAATCGCAGAGAGGTGTTTGACTCAATAGTATAGGAATGCTGCTAAGTTGGGTGAGGTTGCTTGTGTATATAAATACCCAACTAAATCTAAGTGTAGGAACGGCCAGTAAAGTTGCAGCAAAGGGTCAGCCGGGCTGGTCAAAGGGAGCCTTCTGTGGCATAAAAACAGTCCAAAGGTGGGCACCTTGAGCTGCCCACGCACCTGTGCCAAGAGGGGCCCTGAGAGGGAAGGGGGGGGGCAGCCAGGAAGGGAGAGCCTTTATGCATAGCTCCTGATGCCCAGGGGGACTGAAAACCTTCTCTGTTTGTGGACACAGCCAGGCAACCGTTGGCTGTGTGTCATGCAAGAGGAAGGGGCTGATTACTTGATAATACCCAAGGCAGCTACGGGTTCCAAGAACAACATTGCCTGTTGCAGCAAATCCTGAATGGTTTGTATGTGTGTGCCTCTGAGTTGGTGTGTGCGCACAGGCGTGTTCAAAGCACATAAAGTCCTGCTTAGTCAAGCAAGATGGTCTATTTTGGGGTAGCAGCAGAGATTATGCTAAGAAACAGAGAAATCAATTCTATGGTAACCATCTGGATGATCTCCAGGTAAACTTTCTCTATGAATGTCCTGATTTTTATTTTTATTTTCCCTTTGGTTTGCTTTCTGCTTCACTTGTTTACTTATTTTGCTAGGATACCTTTAATCAGGCCTCTCAAATTTTGCACTCATATTGGCATACTTTTGTAGTTCTTCCTAATGCAAGGTTTGTTTTAAGCCTGCTTTATTGAAGAAAAAAGAAATTGTGACCTGCTCATCAAATCCAAATAATTTTCTCTGTATTTTGGGTCAGGTAGTAGCAAAAGCTTCTTTGAAGCAGGAAATGGAGAGTTTTTTTAGTGTGGTCTCTGGGCATCACATCTATGCCTCCTCCCTAGCATACACTAGGTAGGTGGTTCTCACCCTCAGCAAGTTTAAGATGTGTGGACTTCAACTCCCAGAATTTCCCAGCCAGCATGGGGATGGGAGCATGGCTAGGAAATTCTGGAAGTTGAAGTCCATAGATCATAAAGTTGATGAGGTGGAGAAATACTACAGTGGACCAGGTCTTTACTAAGTAGCTCTGCATAAGGGTTGTTCTGGGGCAGAACCTGAGTGCAATGGAGTCCCCCCAATCAGCTGCTCCATGTACAAATCCTAAATTGATTTGCCCCAGTTTGACAGCTATAGAAAAAAGTACCAGTATGTAGGGGGGGGGTGAATCTTGCATCCTTATCTCTTATCTTTTTTATTTATTTATTTTAGCATTGTCTTGACTCCACAGCAAATCTAAGTGGCTCAAATATAAAACAGAATACAAAATCAATTCATTAAAAATGCAATAATAAATAGCATGCTATTATATATGTTATATAACAGTCTGGATAACAACATCAACACAAAACAAAAAAATATCAATCATATCTAACAAGTGGGGTATCCACCCACCCTACCCAAGACCTGGGGCATTGCCAGATCTTTAAGGCTTCCCAGGGTGGCATCATCTAGATCTCGGTGACAATTTCATCCCAGACACCAGACAGGGAACCTGATTCTTGGGTCCCAGACAATGCCACTGTTGATTGAGGGACCTGGAGCAACCTGCCATATTGGTTGAGCAGATTCCAATCTCTTAATTAGCCATGTAGGGCTTTCTGGGTGATAACCAGCACACTGAATCCCTCCCAGAAGCAGACTGGCAACCAGAGCAATCATGAAGCAGGAGTGTCACATGGGCTTGCCAAGACAGATCCACAGATCAGGCCCACAAAGGAGAGGGCTAAGAGTGCCCTCTCCCTCCAAGCCAACAGCAACTGAGGTGAGGAGGAGAATCACTGCAGGTGCTATCACCACCCCTCCCCCTGTCTAGCTGACCCAGAAGGATGGCTTGGCTGAGGATATAACAAACTTCTGAAAGATCAAGGACAGATGTCCCACTTTCATCTTGGCTCCAACCACAAATCATCTACCAGCATGACTAAGTCTGTCTCCATAAGAGATTTTAGGATAGTTGTGTATTTTGCCTTTAAGACAGTACTTCCTCCTGAGCTCTT